CCACGAGCCCGGGACAGGCACGCACAGGCTGTCTCACACGCATCGCCAGTGCCTGATGCTCTATCACAAGGGATCACAGATTCTCGTGTGCGGAGCAGGAAGCAGGCTTCGGCAGAAAGTCACGCACAGTCTGGAAACTCCCCACCAGAGGGGCTCCCGGGATTCTCAGCAGCCTTTGGTGCTCTGATCCTCCCTCTGTGTGAAATCCTTCACCAACTCGGAGACTCCCAGACCCACACGTGAGGAGGGGCCTCCTGCTCATTCCCTCGACTCCCCCATCGAAATCCCAGACCATCTCCACCAAGAGGAACACGTCTCCCGAGAATGTAGGGTGCATGAGGAGGACACTGTCTCCAGGGTCATCTCTGTGGTGACACATACCCACCCCGAGGAGCCCCACGTGCTCAGAAATGTCCAAACTCTGGGTGCCTCGTGCTGAGGACGGAGCCTGCCGATTCCCCAGGTTCCTCGGGCCTCGGTGCCAGCGACGTCTCTCCCTGCCCGGCCCAGATGTATTCTCCAGGGCTTAGCTCCCGGGAACGATGGGAATGTTTCAGGCCGAGTGCTCTGGACCACAAGGAAACAGAGCCCCCAGTGCATTTCACAGGCATCCGCCGGGATTCTGCAAAGTCCATTCTTTCGAGAACAAAATTGCATTTTATGAAGCCATCCCTTTTCCGTTTCCTCTGTCAGGCAGGTTTGCTGAGAATAATTTAAATTTCATGCAGCTGCCACTGCGGGGCAGCGCGGCTCCCTTTCCATCCCACAAGCAGGTCTGGCTCTGGCGCAGAGTCTTGGTTCTGCTTCTCAGCTCCAACCCTCCTCCCCCTGGGGCCTTGACCGCCCAGAGCTGAGTTGGGTGGGGTGGGAGCTGGTGGGGGGGGGGGGGACAGCTCCCAGCCTCGCCTGGGGCCACCTCAGCCAGGGGAGGGACAGTCCAGTGAGCCTCCCCCAGCTCACCAGCACCAACTGCAGGGGGACTCGCTGCTCCCCAAATGCCTGGATGCTCGGTCCGACCAAATCTCTGATTTGACTTTTTTTTCTTTTATTCTTTTCTCTGATTTAACTTTTTAAACTTAACATTTACCGAGTGCTTAACAAGAGGCTTGTGCTGTTCTAAGCTTTTCGACACATGACTTTAACCAATCCTCACAACGTCTCCGCGCGGAAGATGCTACCCATGGTGTCATCCTTCCCACTTTGTAGACAAACTGAGACTCAGAGAGACCCGCGGCTCCTAAGTGGCAAAGGCAGGATTCTAACCCAGCTCTGACTCGGAGCTCGGAGCCCTCACAGCTGTGCATTCAGGATCGACATAGCCCTTGGCCTAAATTCCCCACCTAGAACACAAGAGGGAAACACAGAGTCCCCACATCATGCTGTGGGTGTGTTCATGGAAACTGCGACTTTAAGGAAAGCGATGTGTAAGGAAACCAGGGTTACCACCGGCTAATTGCTATAAACAAGAGTTAAGTTCCTAAGGCATTTTCTGGTCACAAAAACATCACCAAACTTCTAAATAAAGACCCCAAACACTTCTAATGCTAAACACTGAAATAAATGTGAGTATGCATACATTTGAGAAAGGATGAAAACAAGTAAGAATTCTTCCCCAAAGGGCTTATTCTAGCTCCGGGTGGCAGTGGCCGGAGCCTCTCCTGGCAGCTCAGCGCGAAGGTGGGGCCCCCCTGGACCGACACCCTTCCATCACAGCCTCCCGCCCCCCCCAACGCAGACAGGGATTATTAAGGCACCTATTCACCTCCTGCGAACGTCTTCAGGATGTGGGAGGAAACCCGAGTCCCCAGGGAAAGCCCACGCGGGCGTGGGGAGAACGTGCAAACCCCACACGGACGGTGGCCCGGCCGGGAACTGCCTTCTTCTGTGTAGATGTTATAATGGAACGAGGCTGAGCAAGCTAATCGATGACCTGCTGTGTGCCCATTTTCTTGCTGAAAGTCGGCGTTTGCTGGCAGCCAGGTGGGTGAGAGGAGGGGAGGAGTTATCCTAACCGCGCCATGTGGCTTCCAGGGTGAACGCAACAGTAAGCCCGGCAGCTGGGGCGGGAAAGGAGCCAGATCTGCCGGTCCTGCTTCCCACCTCATGAGGCCACCCCCTCCTCCTTCCCACTCCCTGAGGGGCCCCATCCTGCTTCTCACCCCCTGAGGGACCCCGTCCTGCTTCTCACCCCCTGAGGGACCCCCCCCTGCTTCTTACCCCCTGAGGGACCCCGTCCTGCTTCCCACCCCCTGAGGGACCCCGTCCTGCTTCCC